GTGGGGGGATCGGAGGTGTGGGGTGAGGGTGTGTGCAAGTGTGGTGCGGAGGAGTCGAAGGAGTCGGAGGAGTCGAAGGATGAGTTTGTTGCTCGTGAAATTTTTTCTCCACCCTTTGCCGAGCTTCAATGTGGGGTCTGCGGTCTTTCCTCTTTTCGGCAGCGTCTCTTGAAGAGAGTCCTGAGCTGCTGCGCTGAGATTGGAAAGGATAGATAGGGCTGGTACGATCCGGGGTTGGGGTAATACTTACTTTTGCTTGTGAGTGTTGGGTGGAAAGTTTCACCTTCGGAGATCTTCCCTGTCGTATCTCCCAAATAGCGAAGCTTTTCTTGTTCTGCAATCAGACTCGCTATCTTTCACACTTCGTATGCATGCAAACAGGTTGCGCAGCAAACTGGCGACAAGCGCCCACTCAGAACTCAGAGATATGGAAACCAAGAACGCAGTTCAGATACAAGTTCACTTCAAATGGCTATGGCGCCACAGCGCCTGTACAACTCTCTGTTCACATACACAAGATCACCCTGGATATCCCACACGCATCACTCTATATACACCCGCACACACACATCCTACACCCTCCTATCAGCTATGGCGGCTATGGCCGCTGCTACCCCTATCGCTATGGCTAAGCTCCTTCTCACCCACTTCGTCTCCGGGCTCACTGCAGACCACCTCGCACAAGTCGCTGTGGCAGCGCTTCCGCATGGCGTACGCAGGAATGAGTGAATGGCTGGGCACTGCCTCTTGATTTATACTTCTGTATCTCGTTGGTCTGCCCCTTTCCCATGCCAGTGGTGCACACAGTCCCATACGGTACTTGCTTGACTGGACTAGGACTGACTGGGACTGGGACCGCTGACTCAGCACGGGTAGACTCCACCACTTGCCCACTTGCCTCAGCCTAAACATGAGCAGCTTCGAAAGGCCACTACTAGGACCTTCCGGAAGGCCGTGGACTTGGCAGTTGTCCACCATAGCCAGGTAGGTACCCCGCCACTCTCCTCCTTGGTCCTCTTCTCCCTCCTCCTACCGGTAGAGCTCCACCATAGCCAAGGTGGAAGCTCCCGGCTTCTTCCTTCCAGCAGCACTGTAGTAGCCAGCGCTCCTCCAGCCAGCGCTCCAGCAGCGTGTCGCCAAACTTGCACACTGAAGAATGAGGCCGGGCTCTTCCCTGGGCCTCTTGATATAGCGGCCTACTTGCCTCCTGGGCAGTGAATTCCAGGCCGCTCGGCCTCCCAAGCAACCGGTACCTCCTCCCTTTCGGAGGGAAACATCATTGCAGACTCTGATATTGCCTGTACAGGCTCTAGACGCAGATTGGATGGACTCGTACCGGCCTAGACTTAGCCTACCGCTACTGGGCCTCTGAAAATGCCAACTGTGTCTTCTTCTGCTCGGCCTCGAGTACCCGGCACATCTACTGGTACTGGGTGCGGTACCGGCCTACCTGCTACTTGAGTGTTTTTCCGCTGCTCTAAGTGCCACGGGCCTCTGGCTCCGCGACTTGAGTGTTTTCCCTGCTGCAACCCTCAATATCACGGCCACAGGTAAGTACCAGCCCTAGGTAAGTGACCGCATTGCCCTCTTGGGCCAGAATGCCCAGACTGGGCTGCCTCTCTTCCTATATGGAAGTGGCAGCCTCCTGGATGCTGCATGTGGCCTGGCCGGAAGCTTCCAGTAGCTTCCTGTTGGGCCCCAGTACCTGCGCCCAGGCCCGAGACTACAGTCGAGGGTGTGGGCCCTTTACAGTTGGGCATGGCCTCAGTCTCTAGACTTGGGCCGTTTGCTGCACTTGCACAGGTCCCCGGGGTAGGTGCGTCGACAGTACCGCTTTTGCATAGGCCTGTGGCCACTTGAAGATGTATCGGCCCTGCTTTGTGTGTATGTGCCCAGGCGCAACTGCCAAGGCCTGGGCCAACTGTACGTTAGTGAGGCTCACGCATCGACTCAACCAACTGGCGGGCTGCAACAGCCTGAATACCCATATATGAAAATGTCGAGTTTGGCCTCTGATGAATATTCAGGCCCGCCTTCACTTAGGGCGGGCTCTTGGCTTGCTGGGGGCCTCTGCACAGAACATGTGTTTGCCCTGATAAGGGCCCCTGTGAGGGCTCGTTCCACACATAGACTGGAACATGTGTTTGCTCTGATAAGGGTCGATCGCAATCTTGACAACTCAGTGTCGTTGCCCTGATTAAAAAATCAAAAATAAAATAAAAAACGTATGCCCCGGAGTAGTTGCGCCGGCAATCGGCACCCCTGGATTGGTCGGGGGTCAACCAGCTGATGGCTGGTCGGCACGTTCCGGTCGGGGTTCCGTCGGCACCCCGCAAAAAAAAAAAAAAAAAAAAAAAAAAAAGGGGATAAAAAAAAAATAAAAAAACCACCAACACCCCCATAGCGGCCCCCAATACCCGCATACAAAAACCCAACACCCCCAAAACCTGTAATAACACTCTGATTCACTTGTTTAAAGGAAAGAGAAGGA